TCGAAGACTCACTTCAACTGGGCCGATCAGTCTACCGAATGAAACAATAGATAGCGATTGAACGATCGTTTGTCGTCCTAACGGTAAGAAAAAGAGATATACACATTTGAAATGGGAGAGATCCTATAATAACGGTATTAAGAAAGGAATCTCGGGGTCATAGGGTGACAAGGCGTCAAAACAGGTAAGGAACAAAACCTGTCTACTGGTTCCTTCTAACCCACATTCGTGTGATTAACGGGCTGGTTTGCTAAACCAGAATAGGATCTTCATCGGGAAAATCTGTTTTGATAGAAGTAAGCGAACTGGACTTTATGGAAATCTGACCTCCACCACCTTTCCGTTCCCTTTTCTTTTATTACGTTCTTTTATGATAAGTGCAAAAGGAGGTCAGGAACTAGAACTGCTGCACAGATTCAGTTCGCTTAAAGAATATTGAAGGCGGGCACAGCAGATATGCTTCTATCAAAACTCGACGTAGGGCTTTCCGTAAGATAATACTGATTGATCTTGGTTCAAAACTGGGTCATTGTAGAGCACAGTGACTCTTATTTTCCCGAATTTTTTGAGTGAGAATTATACTTTTTAAGATCGCCCTGATGTTACGTCAGCCTATATCACATCTAGAAAGATAGCCACTCAGTCAGTTCGGAACAGTTCGTGAACCCTTCCGAGCCGACCGCTTATTACTAGACCAAGAACTTCAGAAACTATGTTGAACTGGATGCATATTACCTACACATTCAGATCACTTCTTAACCTAAGGGCAACCTATATTACTGGGACTCAGGATGACCTTTGATTGGCACAATCCAGGAGTGTAAACTAGCACGGAGTGCTTCTTATGAACAAGCTACCAGAGGATTTTTGCTGTGTCTTAATAGCATGTCTTTAGATTAGTAGTGCTTTCCAGAAGAAAATATTAGTCCCCAGGGAAAAGTGGAAAAGGAATGGCAGAGGTCGAGAAAGAAGAGCAAGTGTACTGTCTTCAGATTGCAATTTGTGACAACGACGGAAAAGACCAGATAATCCAAATAATTCTCACGTCGGCCTTCCGCTGAGGTGACCAGCGCAAAACAAGCATTCGGGAGTCAACCACTATTTTCGACTAATGTGGAGCTGGTTTCCGCCTAAACGGATCTAGTCACTTGAACAGAATTATAGCAGCAATTCGATATCTTTGGAATCCTCCCCCAATTTCCCTATGAAAGTGTAACAAGAAGAATAGCGATGTAAACACAACTAACGAAAATTGCTTTTCTCTATGGGCTAGGACTCGATGAAGTCATTCTTGATCACTTCGAGTGCATTTTTGGTTGGCGGAAAAAGAAAGCGGGGTCCAGGAATTTTTTTTTTGTACCAAGGTTTAAGATGACGAAGGGACTTCAGCTGCAGGAGAAAAGCGAATCGGAGCCAGATTTAGCGGAGAAGCGCGCCGCGCAAACACCACCGCGGGTGCAGATGATGCTAAAGGTATGCAGCTGAAGACGATAAGGGGTTGGGAGAAGGGGTAATGAGGTCAACTCCACTTTTTCAACGTCGCCAATGCAACATTCAGGCGGCCTGGTCGGAGAAAACCCGCATCGAAACGAAAGCAAACAATGGACAGGATATCGTCGCCGGGAGCGAAATTGGATTATCAGGTGACCGACGACCAGTTGCGGTCGGTGTGCTTCCCTATCACCCCTATCTTGACCGATAAAAATGTTTCTCGGGACGGTCCATTCGGTAAAACAGTGTGCAGAACTCCATCTTGTCCTTCGAGCAAATGGAAGGGAGGAGATGATCGTTATTGAACACCTCCCAACTCCTTTACTTGCTTAACTTTGTGAGCTGTATCTTGAAGGATGAGGGCCTTGAAAGGGTCTGATTGTTGTAGAATTCGAAGGCTTTAACAATTTTCAACGAATATTTAAGGTGTGAAGGGCTGCGAGAGTAATATAAATGCATTGCGTGTGACTGTGAGCCAGAATATAATGTGTATAACCCGTGTCACCTGCGGTTTCGTTAATCATGATTTTCTCGAGTGAGCG